GGTGATTAGATGCAGGTAAGGCGCAGGGATCGATCATTCATTCTTTTCCTCTGAAATGTGATCATTCCCTCTCTCTACCTGTCCTCCACCATCACCTTTCCAAACTGTGGCCTTAATTTTTGCCTCTCACCTCTTCGCGAGAGTCCCTGACCTGTAGACGGCCTGTGTGGGTCCTAGGTGGGGGAGGGTCAGACTCTAGACACCGAAGAGGATTGAAGTCAAGTTAGGGCATGGGGAAAAGCCTCGGGTATCACGGGAAACGCAAGATCAGCTCCCTCTGTGCTGTGACCATGCTAAGCTGTTTTGACACATTTCTCCTTTTTAGATACAAAATGATGAATGTGATCAACTGACCCGACAGCAGGGAGTAGCCAAAATGGCCGAAGGTAGGGAATGTTCCACTCTCTATATTCATTAATCTGCTCCTTCGTGAATCACTTTAACCCATGCTTTGACCCTCCTGAGGTGGAACTCCACAGATATTAGTCCATCATCCTGTCAGTCCCTCAACTAAGTCTCCAATATTCTAGGGGACACCTTCCACGTTTTCCTAACAGCTCCTCATGGATATTAACAAAGAGCTGACTTCCTCCCCCAATCCCAGTAGGGCGTTGAGAAATCTCAATTTGGCTTGGATTGATCCTGGGACTCCTAGTCTTTGATCTCACCCTGGTGCTGTCTCATTCTGGTTGGCATGGTGAATTTGGTTCGATGGTTCCAGTCACCTATGGGATGCCTTCAATAGGTGCTGTTGTTGCCAAAGTGTTGCCACTGGTCTCCACCTTTTGGTCAGCTTGGGAACCTAGGACTCGGAATCATAGAATCCCTACAGCATAGAAGCAGGCCATTTGGCCCATCAAGTCTTCCGAAAAGCATTCCGCCCCGACCCACCATCCTGCCCTATCCCTGTAACCCTGCACTTCCCATGGCTAATCCGCCCAGCCTGCACATCCCTGGACACTATGGGGAATTTAGCATGGCCAATCCACCCTAACCTGCACATCTTTATGATTGTGGGAGGAAACCAGAGCACCCAGAGGGAAGCCACACAATCGTGGGGAGAATATGCAAACTCCACACAGACAGTCGCCTGAAGCTGGAATCGAACCTGGATCCCTGGCACTGTGAGGCAGCTGTACTAACCACTGAGTCACCGTGCTGATTCCATGATTCCAATGAGGACTTGTAGCAGGATTAGTCTATCTGGCCCTTTGAACCTGCCACACTATTTGAGAAGATCACGGCTGATCTAATTGGGGTCTCAACTGCACCTTCCTGTCTGACCCGTCACCTTGTAACCCTCGACTTCCTATCTATTAAACATCAATCTAACTCTATCTTGAATATGTTCAATGACCCACTACTCCCGCTACTTTTTCGCGAAGAGAATCCCACAGGCTAACAACCCTCTAGCTGAAAATTCCTCCTCTGTTTATTTTTATCTTATTCTTAAACTGTGTCCCCTAGATCTAGTCACCCGCACAAGAGGAACCATCTTTCCTCCCAGCTGCTGTCGAGTCCACTCAAAATCTTCTACATTTCAATAAGATTGTATCTCATTCTTCTAAATTCCAATGAATGTAGACCCAACATATCAACGTTAACTCAAAGGATAACCTCCCCGCCAATCCCAGGATGAATCAAGTAAACTTTCTCAGAACTGCAGTTATATCCTCTTTCAACTAAGAAGGCCAAAACTGAACTCAGTACTCCAATGCAATGTTACCAAGGCCCTGTACAGCTACACTAAACTTTCCTACATTTAATATTCCATTCCCCTCTGTTTGCCTTCACAATCAGTCTCAGGGCCTGTAGATTAACTTCTGACGTTTATGTTCTGTGACACCCAGATCCTTCTGTACCTCGGAGTTCTGCAGTCTCTTTCCATTTAAAGGACATGTTGCTTTTCTATTCTTCCTGCCAAAGTTGACAAGTTCACATTTTTCCACAATAAACTCTCATCTGCCAAATCCTTCATCTGGCCTAGTCATCACATTGGGTAATGTATGAGAATGGAAATCACGAAAGGGTGGCCCCAAGACTGTTCCATTTGATCTAACGGAGTTTTAACCAGCTGACTATCTACCGAGATCAGAGATATCCCAACATTAACAACCCCGAAGCCCTCAACTTCATGAAAAGTCTCAGTTCCCAGCATGTCTTGCTACTTTTTTGAAATAGATTTAGATCTTGATGTTCTAATGTGAGGCTTTCAAAGTATTGCATGTTGCTTACTGACCTATTCAGTACCAACCTGAACACTACAGGCAATGTCTGAGTATCTGAAGCAAGGGGTAACTATGACAACACTGCGTGCTCGGTTGCTACTCAAATGCTGGCTGTTTATTTTTAATCAATAGCTTCCATAGGAATGTTAGATGCATGACTCCTTCCACTGCCATCTCCTTTTATATGGACAGATCAATAAACTGGAGTCAATAATAAATCTTGTCCCCTTTAATGATATAGCCTTGTAATCAAGAGTCATGTAATCCTGAGTTCCTGTGATGTGTACATACCTCAACCAGGCCCAAATACTGTAGCTATTGGCTGTACTATGTAGGAAGATCTTCTTCAAACTTAAGTCCTATCACTTGGCGCCTTTATAAAATCATGAGGGGTATATTTAAGGTGAATGACAAGTGTCTTTTCCCTAGAATGGAGCATTTCAAGACTAGGGGCATATTTTTAAGGTGAGAGGAGAAAGATTTAAGACAGACATGAGGGGCATTTTTTTTTTTTTTTTTTTTTTTTTTACAGAGTGGTTCATGTATGGAATGAACTTCCAGAGGAAGTGGTGGATGAGGGTACGGTTACAACATTTAAAAGATGTTTGGATAAATACATGAATAAGAAACATTTGGAGGGATATGGGCCAAGCGCAGGCAGGTAGGACTAGTTCAGTTTGGGATTATGGTTGGCATGGACTGGTGGGACTGAAGGGTCTGTTTCTGTGCTGTATGACTCTGTGACTCTAAGCTGGTGTTGAGCGGCCTTCTTGAACCACTGCAGTCCACGGGGTGTAAGTGCCCTCTCAATTCTGTTACGGATGGAAGTTCAAGGATTTTGTCCCAGCAACATTGAAGGGACAGCAATATATTTGCAAGTAAGGATGGTGTAAGGCTGCAAGGGGGATCTTGCAGGTTCTGGTGGTTCCATGTATCTGCTGTCCTTACCATTCTAGACGGTAGAGTTGGTGTGCTTGGAGATGCCTTTATCAAAGGAACCTCGGCACGTTTCTGCAGTGTATCTTGTAGATGGTTCAAAGATTCCAGGTTTCTACCATCGGTGTGTAGAGGTATTTCCAAATTTAATTTGTAATTGTATCCAATTTTTAAACACTAACCCCTAATTTTAAACACCCAACCAGCAAAATTAAGTTACCTCTATCTGCCATTAGGTTTTTCCTTGTTTCCATCACTTCTTTTCCCAATTCCTGCCCGTTCTCAATCCTTTCCACTAATGGGAACACTTTTTTTTTTTCCCCCCCCCCTATTCGTACTATCCAGACCCGTCATGATTTTGAACAGCAATAAAATTTCCTGTCTCTTTTCCTAAGGAAAACTGTCCAAATTTATGTAAGTCGCC